GGCCAGCGCGCCTCTGCTCCCTATTACTCCAACAGGAGCCGGACTGTTTCCCTGAGGGTGTCAGGTGAGTCCTCTTCCATCACAGGTCTGTGTAGTGTCACGGTCATTGTAAATGTTCACATGGATCCAGACAACCCAAGTGCTGCAAAAGTGTGGAAAAGACATGCGGAGGTTTGGCAAAGCACAGAACCTATATCAGAGAAAAGTAAACACATGGAAGATGAACCTGTACTGAGTGCTGACCTTGCTTTCTGTGTGGGTCTACTGTAGTGATGGGAACACTGTTCTCTAAAACAAATGGTGCTGTCCTTCGGAGAAAATATAAAACCATGGTCCTCGCTCACCAAGGTCATTAAAAAACCCAGGATGTTTCTCAAAAAGAGTAGTCCTGGCAAAATAAAGCCCCTGGACTTTACCAACCATGGGCTGCAAATAATCGATTAATTGATCTTGATAGATCTTTATCTGTGTATTGGCTTAATTACTCTGTTTTCCTCCCTAGTGAGAGCTGTTGATTTCTTGTAAAGGTTTTTGAGTGGAGGGTCTGGAAAAGCGGTATATAAGTGTATTTTATTTTTATTATTATTAGTAGTAGTAGTAGTTTTTTGCATAAACAGGACTTCAAACAAGTGACATCTGCACCAGTGTCATGAAATACAGACTGTGAAACTGCTTTTTAGTTAAGGGATTCGGCATCATGCACAGACTCCACCAACCAACACATGATCACTCTTTTTGAATGGCCAACATCATTAACATGATCCTTCAGCTTGAAATGAAATAAACGCCTGGAGGCTTGTCAAACTTCTCGTTTTAACACAGATTGTTTCTCTCAGACCTCCTGCCCACCCTGAACCTGACCCAGGATCCGGACAGGAAGATCTTTGAGGAAGACGCAGTGGCTCTGAGGTGTGGGGCACAGGACGGGACCCTGGGCTGGCTGTACTCCTGGTACAAGGACAACCTGAACACCACTGTGCACCGGAGTGACCGCAAGGATGTGGCTGGAGCTAACTACTCCATCACAGCAGTTGACTTGTCTCACAATGGGCTATACTGGTGTGGAGCAGAGAGGGGAGAGAAGCCCATTTATTTAAATTTCAGCCAGCCAGCTGTGCTGGAGGTACATGGTGAGTCTCAATACAGGCTACAGAGATGCAGAGGGGCGGCAGCTACTATCCAGAAACAGCATTTACGATCTTACTGACTGTGGGCTGTTTAGTGAAGAGACGTGTAGTCAATGTTACTGCAGAGTTACTTCAAATGTTACTTTCTCATACAAACAAAACAGGCAAGAAAATCACGGAATGAACAGAATACGTTCTTTTTATTGCCTTTAACTGTGTCTCACAACCTACAGAGAGATTCTTCAATATTAAGTTCTGTCAAAAATAACATCCACACATATGAGGCAACTGGAACTGGAAAATTAAGTATAGATTGTATGTTGAAACTACCGAATATAAGTCAAAACTCCCTGAAAATCTTTATAGAGAGTGGTGTTCCAAAGCCTGGTGTTTATGTTATCTTATAAAGTTGGTTTTATCCTCAGTAAGCTGCAGATCAATCTGTAATGTACTTTTTGAGAATCGCTTTGCTTTGACACACTGCTGATATACTAGTTCATAGTTTATGTTGTGCTCCTTCCTGTATGTTTGCAGAACGGCCCACAGCAGTGATATCCTTGGGACAGGAGTGGTCAGAGGTGTACGCAAGAGAGACTGCAGTACTGAGGTGCTCTGTCCCTGGAAGTTATCCGATGCAGAGCTTTGACTGGTACAAAGATGAACACCCATCTCCAGTTCACCATTCTGAAGATGAGAATTGGACCATCCTTTCAGCTCTGGAATCACACACAGGACATTACTCCTGTCAGGGCAGGAGCAGGGAGAATCCATCTTACTCCAAAAAGAGCAGTCCAGTCGAGCTGAAAGTACAGGGTATGGTGTCTCGTTCACTCTTACTTGCAGCTTTTCTATATTGAGTAGAATAACAAATCAGGCCTTTTTCCCTGTTCTGTAATAATAGAAATCAGGTGAAATACAGCACAGCAACAGTGAATATCATCATACAGCAAAACTAGTTTTGCATCTGACAGTGTAACATTGTAAGCTCACACTTACCTTCAGATACCTTCCACAGGAGTCCTATAGAGTTATTTTGTTGAGCCCTGGAAAACACTAAAGAAATTTGAAACATTTCTCAAACCAAACAATATGAGTGTAAAACAATCAAAACCACTGATAAAAGAATCATAATTCTCCTTCAATAATGTCTTCTTTTGGCAAATTTTCAATCAGTTGAAAAATATCTGTTAAAAATGTATATAAATAAGCATCCATTTAAGTCCAGAGCAGGGTTAGGGTTACAAGAAACCTGGAATGTTAAATGCTGTTCTTCTAGCTTCTAGCTGCATGTTCAATGACAGAATTAAGAGTGTATACCATTTAGAGCAGGTTTTCTTTTTATCTTACTCAGTTCTGGGATCCAATT